CCAGCACACAGGGTTAGGACCCAAGGCCAAGCACCACCATAAAACCATCTCTCCTTCCCCTCCATTTGCCAAAGGCCTCTTCACTCTTCCGTCTCTGCTGACTTCCAGAACACCCTCTGTCCTTCTGTAGTAACAACCTTAAAGATTAGGATTGTTTCCTCCATTCTTTGTGGGGCTCTGAGCTCCTTGGAGGCAGGGCACCTGCATGGATGGCCTTGGATTCACCCTGGCCCTTCATCACCTAACTTAGTATCTCACATGTGGGGATCCATATCTGTGGTCTATGGTTTACTCACATAAAAAAAATAGAGACTAATGAGATGTGTGCAAATCCTGTCTCTGATCTATCCACTTCAGGGAATAGTATGGGTTAGCAAAATCTAACCTAGTATCACTAGGGGTTGGAGAGGGACAGTGCTGTGGGGAACATGACCAAGTCCAGAATCAGCCTCACGGGCCCTGGTGTCTGATCTCATGGTGGAGTGGCCTTATGACTTGATAATTTCCTTTTTCCCCTTTCCTTCCAGTTCATGGCTACCTTGCTCCTGGCTGACTGTAACTACTTCTGCCAGCCAGTGGACTACAACCGAGCAAGCTAGGGTGAGGGTACAGCAGGAAGGGGACAATTAAGGCTGAAGAGGGAGGATTGGTGGAAAGACCCTCATTTAACAACCAGAACTGGATCAAGACAAAGTCACCAAGCTTTCTGACGGGAGGCTGGGGACTGGCTGGTTAGGCACAGGCTTTGGAATCAGAGGAGCTCAGACCTCAGTTTGGACATCAGATCTGCCAGTTACTGGCCATGTGACATACCTTTTTTGGATCTCAATTTTCTTATCTATGTAATGGGGATAGGAACACTTACTTTATAAAAGGAAACTTTGGGGAAAGATTGAATTAGACAATGTCTGAGTGTTTAGCTCTGAGACAGGCGCGTATTACTGGTATCTAAGTGGTAGTTATTTCATTATTGCTAGCTGTTCTCAGTTTCAACTGGAAGTAGAACAAAAGGCTTCCCAGCAGCAAGAAAGCTAAGCTTTGACAGGTCACCAAGTAGTGATAGGGATGTTGAGTCACTGGAGTTCCAACAAGGAGCTAAAAGTCTTGCGACTCAAAATATGGTCCACAGACCAGCAGCATCAGCATCGCCGGGAGCTTGTTCAACAAGCAAAATCTGTGCCCCACCTCACGCAGCAAGCACATAGATTAAGAATCTGCTTTTCAATAAACAAGATCTGCATGTGCTTAGGATTGAGCTGAGCA